GACGTGCGCCTGGTATGCACCTTGGACTCGTCAGGCGCGCCGTCAGTTTCCTTCCGGCCCACAACATGCAAACTCAGAAAATTAACAGTGTTTGGTCAAGTTGACATCAAGAATCAATCGTATTCAACGCTAGGTATCTACTAATTACTTATAAGCGTTAGATATGTGAGGTTCGTAAGTTCATCCATCTGCCAGGGGTACCGACTGAGCGTAAGCAACAACAACAAAAAAAAAAAAAAGGGATAGAACATCGTAAGTGGGAGAAAATCGTGCAAATGCATGAGATCGTCCAGATCCAGTCTCAAGATATATACAAAACATTGATCAGCTGTTTACCAGCCACCGAACCAGCGGGAAGGAGGCCGCCTCGTTGCGCGGGGCCCACGGACAACTGTCCGAGTAGCATGATAATCGTCCTCAGGTTCCTCGGAAACAATCTCTACCGCAGTAGTCTTTGGGCTCGAAAGCGTCGACGGAGAGGTCACACCCTCAGGCTTGGGGTTGGCAGCGAGGCGGGTGTTAGCAGGGGGAGGGACGGTAACAGTTTGGGTTTGCACTACAGTTCTGGTTTCGGTCTCGTACGCGATTTCGGATACAACAAAAGGGGGGAGTTCATGATACGGCTAGAGAAAAAAAAAAGTCAGTAAGAGCATTGAACAGTTTTTGTGTGAGCTTGTAAACCACAAGGCCAGGAGGAAAAAGAAGTAGCACATCACGTGGAGCATGTTCTACGATCAAGGATCGATCATTATCGATCGTGTCGCGTTCGACACGCTGGCCTGTGGTCTACAGAGGGGGACGAGGAAAAGCACCGTAGTCCCCCTAGCCCGGACGAAGGGGTAGAGGGGGCGTGGACGAGATGTACGGACTCGATGATATAGCGTTTACACCCTCCTTCGTCTCAAAGCTCAGAGCGGCGCGGGGAGGGCGGCGGTACCTTGGCTTTTCGCTTTGTTCCAACGGGCTCATATACATAGTCGTCTTCAACAGTTTGAGGATTGTCGTTTCCGAGGTCACTGACACGAGACGATAAGTGTGAGCGCGTGGAAAAATGCGAAACCGAGCTTACTGGAGTTGCTCCATGATCCAGTTTTCACGCCGAGAAGCGTCGTGCTCCCTACGGTTCACGGCCTCTTCACGCTTGCTGATATCTCGTTCGCGTTCGGCAATCTTGAGTTCGCGATCGAGAAGCTCTTCTGTACGGGTACCGACCCAGCCAGGGGGGGTAAGAGAGTCTTCCTTTACAACCTCCTTGATTACTGTCTGGACCGGGCCAGGTACAGTCTCAGTCATCGTGACGGCAACACAAGGCGGGCAAGAAGAAGGCAGGACACCGCCAGGTGCGCCGGCCAGCAGCTCTGCCTCACGACGAGCGACTTCGGCCTCGCGCTGTGCCACGGCATGCTCACGGGCAATGAGAGCCTGGGTCCGCTTGGGAGTCAGGTATCCAAGAACACTCGACTTGGTAGAGTCAAGACCGCCGTCTGATGACGCGCCGGCAGAGGGAAGTGACAGCATGACAGCGAGGACAGCGAGGACGAGGGAGAGGACTAGGAGGAGGGTAGTGGAGGAGATAGTACGATGGTGATGGTGAGAGGAGCGTTCACGGTCGCGGTCGCGGTCGCTGCGGTGGCGATGCTCACGATGCTCGGATGTAGTGGGGGCCATCCTGACTGTAAGGACTGTTACGGGGCATACTGAGGAGGGAAAAATAGGCTTACCGTTGCTAATTGAAGAACTAGGCGACACGGATGAGAGTTGCTTAGTCTGGCGTAGAATAGACGTTTTGGAAGTAATGGTGGCAAGCTGTGCTCGAGGAGGTAACGCGCGGTGGGGGTCAAGAAACAAAAACTAATAGGAACAATTCGAGCTGTCCAAATTTTTGCCGTTTCCATTGTTCAACCAACACGTGTGAGACCACGTGGTGTCGTTTTTGGTAATTGTCCTCACGTGTTTGCACTTGAACTTTGACCTAGATGTCGCTGCGGCGCCTGGCACAGGCCAACAACGCCGCCGTTCATACAGGTTCGCCACGAAGCCCAGAATCAAATTCGGGCAAGGATTCACCTCGCATGAGTCTGCCTTCTACGCCGCGAAATAGGACTTTTATCAGCGCCTATCGTTCTCCAGCGTCTACTCCATCTATATCGTCGTCGATTCCATTTGATTGGGAGGCGGCTCGGTCGCGGAAGCCGGCCCCATATGGAACGCCGGGCCAAAACAGGGTTCGGGGTGCAGGGACACCTGTGAAGCGCGTCGTTCGCGAGAAGGGTTTCGTGGAAAGGTTGGGTGTGATTATTTATATGGCATGTGCGATGATTGACGCGTATTAGAATCACGTCGATTCCGTCGAGAGTTGCTTTTGAAATCTCGTTGTTTCCGCACAACGTACCACTCCCCGAGGCAGCAACGTTGGGCAGACTGGTCGGTGGCGTTCTTCACTTTTTGCACTTTTGTGTGCGCGTGAGCCAATCGCGCAAGGTGCCGGATTCTGATTTGGGATGGGAGGACATGTACCACGAGGATGAGGGGACGTCTTGGTTTGACTGGGTGCGATTACTTGGCGTATGATGTGGTACTCGCAACTAACAGGACTCAGACAACGCCGGTAACGGTGCTGTTGTTGGCAGGGGCATTTCTCAACGCGGTGTATCTATTTACACGGATAAAGGTGTACAGACTGCACAAGCGGGCGGAGCTGGTGTCGTCTCCGAATGCACGATTTGTGTCTGCGCAGCCGCTGGAGGTGCGGTCCCTGGGGTCGCGCATGCGGCATGGGATTGCGTGCTGTTGGCGGTGGTTGCTGGGGATGGAGCTGCCGACGCGGGGGGGAGGAAGGACGGCGCGGGTGCAGCAGCTGGAGGTGTGGGCGCCAGGGCGATTCGAGACGGTGCTGTTCACGGTGTACTCGCCTGCGCACGCGGTGCTGTGGATGGGGACGGGGACGGGGAACTGGATGGGGACGACGGCGGCGATGGGGCTGGTGTGGGCGCAGCTGCACGGGCTGGTGTGCTGGTACGCGCAGCTGGTGAAGGACAAGGAGATCGTTGCGGCAGAGGTGATGAGCGAGTACAACGCGGGCTTTGTGTACCCGCGGGTGATGCCGGTCCGGCGGGATGTGGCGGTGATGACGCACGAGGCGGAGATTGTGTAGCACAGCCACTACGTAATAGCTTCCATGAAAATCCCGACTCGCTGCGTGGTGTGTCCCTCCAAGCCATAATAATCAATTATTTACATGCCGCCAGGGCTTTGACGCAGACGGCACGGCGCGCAAACACGGCTGCCCCAGCAACAAGCCCTGCCGCTTCACCCACCCCGACGACCCAGGCTGGCACACGGCCGCCGACCCTCCTCCCTTTGTCAGGGCCTCGTACAATCGCCGTGTCGAGAGCCGTGTCGATAGCCGTGTCGAGAGCCGTGTCGAGAGCCGTGTCGATAACCGTTCTCGCCACCGTTCTCCCCCACCGTCATCGTCCTCGACTGCCCCGCCATTGTCCTCGACTGTCCCGCCATCGTCCTCGACTGCCCCCTCCTCGACCGCGCAGATGCCTGCCCTGCTCCCTCTCCCCACACCTCCCGATGCCCTTGCAAGAAAACACCTTCCCCAGAAAAACCAGGAGCAACTTCGCGCCCTCTGGGAGGAGAGAATCAAGCAAGTGCCACTTGCCATCACCTTCACCACTCTTCTCACCATCCCTCCAGAGCCCTCGCCGAATCTACCAGCCGTCGTCAACAGCTCGCCAAGATCGAGGGCGAAATCACCACCACTCGCGCCTTGATGGACTCTCTACAGTACCCATCACTCCCAGAGGACTCCAAATCCCGCATCACCGATGAGCTCGCCACACTCGAGCGTAAACGCGATCAAGTAAAAAAGCAACGCGAAGACATCATCAACCAGCTCATCAAGGCCGATTCTTGGCCCGCCACCCCACTCACCGATGCCCAAGACAAAGAACTCGACAAGTACCACGACATGAAAAAGAGCGTCGCTGAGCTCAAGGAGCAGGTAGAGTCTATCAACACCCTCTTTCTCAATCTTCGCGACTCCGATCCCGATCCCATGCATGTCGACGAGCGTCCCCTAAAGCGACGTCGTGGCCCTGAATCTGACATTCCCGACCCGGGTCCCACAAAAGAACAACTCGAAGCAATGCAGCTCAGAATCGCCGAGCTCGAAAATATCTATTCTACATTCTCCAACGACTTGATCGCACGCGATGACGACCTCCAGCAGCGCATTGAAGCAGAAGTCGAGTTGCAATTGGACAGGGCCCCCCACCCAGAAACCGACGTGCTCGACCAAGTCAACGCTGATATCAAACAAAACGGCGAAGAAGTCGATACACTAGTAACCGAGTTGGCTAAATTGATGCTCAAAGCAGACCAACAAGAGAAAGATTTGCAAGCCGTCAAGGCACGCATTGTAACGTCCCAAGCTCAGTTTCAGGAGGTAACGTAAAAGAAACAAAGATCCCATGGCCCCACTCATCTCCAGCTGTCATAGATGCGAGACAAGTTTCAGAAATTCGAGGAACAACGTCAGAAGGATCTTAAAACCATCGTGGCGCTCGAGGAAGCTGTAAAGATGTACACTGACCATTCACCCCAGCCCGCTATACCAGGCCTCACACAGGACCAGATCATTCATCTCATGGATGAGCCCCTCATCGATATCGTGCGCGCCCATATCCGCCCGCTGCTCGAGCAGCTCCGCAACAAGGTTCAGGATATGCTCAACATGCAAAACTCGGAGATGTACAGTGCCCTATGGGGCAAACTCTCGCTTACCCTGCGGATGGTCGAGACCATCTCCAAGCGCCTTGAACGTGTTGATCAGGGCTCGGGTCCCGCTCAGACCTCGGGTTCGGCACCTCAGAATGTAGCATAATTGCTACTTTTGTAGTATCTGTATAATATATTGTCGCTTTTCTTGGTCTTACAACCCCAGAAGTAGGTCCCTGTTTGATAACGGCACTATGATGAACACTTCCCAAGCCCGTGTAGCTCAGTGGTAGAGCATTGTACTTATGTGGTTATCTGAAGCCTTGCGAGATGCAAGGGTCCCGAGTTCGATCCTCGGCGTGGGCATTTTTAGTCTGAAACTGTGGCGTTTGTTTTGTTTTTCGGCACCTTGGATACACGTCAACCGAACTCAATGCCATGTCTCGATGCCTTGATGCAAGTTGGGTTTTACATGTGATGTGAAGCAGTAATTAAATTATGCGTGTATTTTATATTTGGGGAGGAGCCGTGCCCATCTCTTCAGGTGTCATAGGACCACTCTCAATCATCACGCCAACACCGACCTTGGCAGCGTTCTAAAGCGCCAACGTCAATTCACTATACCCCGCGGGACCAGACGCCAGAAACATACCTTGAAGTGGTCAATCTCACCCGACACCAAGAATGCAAAGGCGGGAGCGAATCGTTGTTCCAGCAGCGCTGAGACTTTGCCCGTCGAGTCGATCTGTGCCCTGAAAGTAGACAACCGGAGGTCGTACTTTGCACCCAGTGTTGCCAGCGCGTCTCGTCGAGCAGGCGTAGCTATTAGCTGCAGGTCAGCTGCCACCTCGACTTTGTCGCTGAGCTTTTGCCAGTATGTCGCCTGGAGGACTCCGGCCGCTTGGATTTGGGCCGTAGCGATAGAGTTCTTGTCCGTTGAAGTGTATTTCGCGAGGTATGACGTGGTGAGTTCTGATGTGTCCGGCGACGGCCGCTGGAAGAGAGTTTCGAACCCGAGAGCGATGTTTTTGGTGAAGGATTGGAGGTAGCTGCCGACAAAGATACCGGTCATGTCTGTTGGCCAGGGATTGATGGCTTTGGCGTTGAGACTGAAATCCTGGCCCTGGTATTCGTGCTCCAGCTGGATCATGTTCTGCGTCGCTTGCGAGGAAAACTTCAGGAGCGAGACACGTCATATAGTTTATAATCCAACATTGGGAAAAAGTTCACTCGTACCTGCGCCTGCATTTTGGAAACATTCTTTTCCGACCATCCTTGGTTGTATCGAGCGTTGACGTTGCCTTCATGGTCAACACCACCCTGGAGGAAAACCTGTGGATCGTCTGGGTTTAGAGACACGCGCACGATTCAGAGACTTGATACAGGCATACGTGTTCGTTGGCAAAGACTGCGCCAAAGTTATATGAAGATGGTATCGTTTGTGAGCCCAAAGCGAAAGAATGCGTGACCTGGAACAGAGGGCTCGTCGACAAGCTCTTGGTCAAGTCGGCACGAGCACCATCGAACATATAGTTAGTCAAATGGGTAGCTACAGCGCAGAGAAACCATGAGTCTACGCTTCCCATAACTCGTACGCGGTCACGTACCTTTGACTTCTTTCTGGAGGTTTTCGACTGTGCCAGGATGGGGTAGACCCAAGTCCGTTCGCCATTGGTTAAAGCGATCAAACACATCGGTAAAGGGAGATATGGGATTGAAATAAGAAGACTTGGAGGGAAGTGAAGGAGTGAAAGGAATGTCCCCTTCACTCTCGGGAAGCGAGGCGGATGCCATGACCGAATGACCTGAAATTTGTTGTGACTGTTGGCACTCCAAAGAAAAAGCGTTGCCAAATAGATCCAAGCACCGCCGTTACACGTGACTGCACCCGGCGGCGGGTTGGGCGCGCCGCCCGCGCACCGGTAAGGACCGGTGCAGCCTGCTCAGGCGTTGGGGTTGTATCAAGGTGCCACCGCTTCCGACTTTCGACACGTTTCGACTTGTATGATGATCAACTAGGTATATTTTTACCTCTCTATCTTCAGATATGACCCTTCTAGAATCACTTGATTGAACTCAATTATCTAAACATCTATTCACAAGCACGAGAATTGACCATGTAACCCCAGGTATTTCCGCGAGCACCGTCTGGTCGATGACATGGATATTTATGGGACCTTGAATCATATCAAAAGGTTCCACCAGTGTGTACATGCGGTCCATCAAGAAAGCTCTGCTAGTGTGTGCATCAAGACGGTTCTATAAACAGCTCGTACTTTCCTGCGAGATATCGGACAGAGAACCCGTCTTAGTACGAATCAGGCGCCTCCGCAGCATACATGTAAGATGTATGGGATACTTACCTGATGCTTCTCCGGAGTGCTCTGCCTTATACTGTGATTGTTACCAAATGTTTCTATTCTTATTACGATCTCTCCGACTCCGAGACTCGCACTCCAATCGGCTGTAGCTTAATGAAACTTCTAGATCTCCCAGCTGCGGAAATCATGATATAAAGATCTCAAAAGTTCGCTTTGTGGAGTATTTGTAATTGTTCACGCCGTGCTCTACACCTTGCTGCAAGGCCTTATGCTCACGCCTAGACGATTCATTGTCGTCCTCTTGGTGGTGGTGGTAGGATGGTTTCTCCACGTAAATTATCACTGTGATAACTAACCATTCTAGTTGAGTCTGCACTTTTTCTTGGGACTCGTTGTCAAGGATTATGAGACGCTTACCGCTCGAATTTCCGAGAGATTTCGCTCCCATCCATATTCCTCGCAGATGGATGCCGGTTTGAATACATCGCATGCGGTACAAGTCTATGAGGAACCTCGTCAAGATAACACCGACTTTACCTATCAGCGGAGAGCTAATGCGATTTTCATCATGCTATGCAGGAACAGTGAAGTTCAGGGTGTGGCATCAAGTATACAGCAAGTGGAAGATAGGTTCAACAGGAATCATAACTATCCGTGGGTGCTACTCAACGAGGAACCATTCACGGATGAGTTTAAGAAGTAAAACTTTTTATTTTTTTTTTGCTTATGTGTTTGTCTCCGCTAATCGAACGTCAGACGCGTGTCTGTCCTCACGGATGCACCCATCTCGTTCGGGTTGATCCCAAGGGAGCATTGGTTCCAGCCGGACTGGATAGATGAAGATAAAGCTAAAACAGAGAGAACAAAACTAATGTGGAAAGGTATAATCTATGCTGGTATGTCGCTGTATCTAAAATTAGATTGTTCTTTATTCTCAGGACTTACCTGAGTATCCGATAGGCAGTGTACCGTTCGTGTCCCTTATCTACCCGGCTGCATTTGTACATGATTTCCCATGTAGGTACCGCAATATGTGTCGTTTCAATTCTGGTGTGAGTTCGTTCTATTTTTATCGCACGGCGTCTCGCGACTCACGGAGGTGACTGCGCAGTTCTTTTTCCAACATGAACTCTTACAACCCTATCGCTATTATTGGAGGTTAGTTTTACTGATTTGTGTTCACGGGACCTTCAGCTGATGACAAGTCCATAGGGTTGAGTATGTCTAGCGACGCTTCCTTCAACAGTGAATTGATGCAGCGACAGGCCTGGTGTAAAATTCTTTTGTGACGTCTCTTATGACCCTTTCCTCTATATGGAGGATAATAACAAAACATATGGTATGGACTGCGGGACTGTATGCAGGCCCTTTTTTTTTTTTTGGCTCAGTCGCTGTCTACAGGCTTTACGATTTCGCTGGTAGAATGGGAAGCAACTATCCCTAGCCTCTGGTCGACAGTTAAAGGTTACAATCCGTCTTACACGACGATGTCGCGAACCGTTGATGAACAGCTTTTCATCCAACAGAATTCATGGCCCTACATCCTGAATACGTAGCTCAGGAGAATTCAATGGATTTTCTTTCTAATAATGGTGGTGAAAGCTATAATTTGTGCCATTGTGAGCGGACCTTCTTCAGATTTTGACTCACCTGACACAACTGTGACAGACTGGAGTAATTTCGAGATTGCTGACATGGATTTCTGGCGAGGTGAAGCCTACCAAGCATTCTTTCGATATCTCGAAGCAAAAGGGGGGTTCTATTACGAGGTGGGTGTAGAGGAGCTTGCGTAGTGACGGTTGCTGAAAATTCTACTTGTAGCGTTGGGGTGATGCACCAGTTCATAGCATTGCAGCATCTCTGTTTGCGAACAAGAGCCAGGTCCATTTTTTCCGAGACATTGGTTATCGTCATGATCCTTTCCAGCATTGTCCACAAGGAGACGATTGGACTCGAGGACGGTGCGCCTGTGATCCCAATGACAACTTCGGTAAGTCTCGAAGATGCTGAAGCTTGAGGTTGTGCTTATTAGTTAAGACTATGCCCAAAACTCATGTACTAGAAGATATGAAAATCTATTTGTGTAGCATTAGATATCTTAGAAATCAAAGTGAAAGGAAAAAAGATCACTTTTGGGGATATCATCCTCGATTTCTGTAGCAACTGTGATTTCAATCACGATCAACCACGTGAATGATGTGGCACGGGGGCAATGCTGCTTCATGTGGCGGATTTCGTACTCTTGCAAATAACTGCGCTTTCTATTGAGTACATCTTCCCGTTTCTGCCGAGCAGAATTCCTTTCTTTTCAAAATGAACGCGCAAATGCGTTATGTGCTCCTAGTCCTGGCTGTTATAGTAGGTCTTTTCGTTTCCTCAGGATCAGTCAGCTCAATTACCCTCTAGGTCAGTCTACACTACATGCTTAGCTTCTCCAACGAGAAGTACGGAAATGCAACATCGTTTTCCAATATTAAGGAGAAAATCACAGGCTCTTCTGGCAAGCCACCATACATGGAACCCGTTCCAGAGGAGTATTATATCAAGACGAATAAGACTGAACCACCAGCTCGAAGAGCCAATGCTGTTTTCGTTATACTTGGTGCGCTTCCTATATATTTATGAAGGACTTTGACTGACTTTTCTGAAATAAGCGCGCAACTCTGACTTGAACGGGGTCGTCAGCAGTGTGAAACAGATGGAAGACAGGTTCAACAAAAAGTTCCAGTATCCCTACGTCTTCCTTAATGAGAATCCGTTTGAAGAGAGTTTCAAGAAGTAATGTTCTGTTAACTTATTCCTGAACGTCCCTTCTGACGCTCTACTTAGACGTGTATCAAAACTGACTGATGCTAAAGTCGAGTTCGGTCTCATACCGCGCGAGCACTGGTTCCAACCAGATTCTATTGATGAAGTAAGAGCATCTGCAGCTCGCGAAGACATGGCAAAGAACAACGTTATATACGGAGGTAAGAATGTCCCTTCTCATTCATCGGTCAGAGAACTTAATTCGGGATTCAGGAAGTGTTCCGTGAGTCCATTTTA